ATTACATTATCCTGTTCTTTTGGGATTTTAGCATTTTTGACATCATCTGCTATAAATCCTAAACTACGTTTTGAATCTTCATCTTTAATACCTTATTATTGACCTCTTTGATACTCTCTTTTTGTTCAACATCTGATGTTTCTACTAACGCTACACCTGTGCATGTTCCGTTAAGTCCGGCGTTACCTGTTGTTGTTAATATACCATGAATATCTACACTTGAATTTGAAATGTCTAATCTTGATAAACCGCTGTTACTTAATCTTATCCATCCATCATTATCTGGGTCATTAGTGATCACGTTTTGCTTTCCCGCATCGTCAATGTGTGTGATTTGTAATTTCCTAATGAAGTTGGCTGTTCCGTCGGCTAACTGAATTTCCGGCGTCCCACTTTCTAGACCTGATGTTAAATTCATTTCTCCTAATGCACCACATTCCTAAAATGATTTACAGTGTGTAGCTAATACTTCCTTCAGTTCGCTACTATTTTGAAACATAAACCGCACCCAAGTAGAAATATCAGACTCACCAACCATATTACCAATAAAGGCTAAAACCAGCTCTATTTAATGTAATTCCGTTCGCGTCATTTCATTGAAGCCATTGAAGATTAACTTATGTATAAAATACAAGAATATGGAGAAAGTGCAAAAGAACAAGGAAACACCCAAATTTACGATTATGTGAATTTAAACCCATTCCCAACATACAAAAAGTTGTAAATAACATACTAAATGGAGATACCAGCAATTGCAACCAGAAAACCTATAATCAAATTCAGAACTGTTATAACTCTTTCTGGAATGGTAGCGATGGTAAAGAAACATATTATACCAAATTGCGGAATACAGCAATAGCAGAGCACGACAAAACATTCAAGAAACGCTCAGAAACTAAACAACGGATTCTTGATTATGTACATTCCTGTATTGAACCAATGTCCAATATCATAAACAAGATTTGTGACGATATTGAAACAGACCAGAACACAACAGTATTGAACAGAGAATGTATACAAACAACCAGCGTCAGTGGTAAAACAAATAATGTGACGAGTTAAATTCAACGATGGATACTCATGGGAAAAGTTTCTGGATGCACGTTTCCGTATAAGCCGAAGCAACAATGGTTGAAGAGACAAAATAGCATTCCGAAAATGGCAGATGGTTGCCTAACAACCAATGGCTTTTTCTTTACTAACAAAAGCAGCATTATCCGATTGTGTTAATTTGTACTCTTTTAAATCCCAAACTAGGTCTGGATTCACCTGCGCAACATGCTTCATTTCGCTGCAGGTCGAACGCATGCTGCGTTTCTACAGGGGGGGATGGCACAAGGATTGCACAGACATCTCACACCACAACCTACCTAGACTGTATGTCTTCAAGAATGACGCTACAATTGAGCAACACAAGAAACAATCGCCCTTGGATTCCCAAAATCAGATTACCTCGTGTTGCCATTGTCTACAGCCCCCCGCCCTGAATATGCGCCGTAAAGGGGTCCGTGTACCCACAGTATATACTTTGGCCCAAAGTACCTATAATATAGGGACTATTTACAAGGCCAAAGTATATACTAATTGGGTACCTGGACCCTGAGGGAAGGAACTCTGGTTGCCTTCAGGAGGAGTTGCGCCGCGAGGTGCCAAGCGCCAGCCTGCGCTTTTTCAGAGAATTCCACGAATCATGGAGAAGTCATAATATACTTGTATAAGATATTCGATATCTTATAGTATCGACTATAGTATCCATAATAGTACTGAGCCTTCAGGATTTTCCATGTTCCCGGATTTCCTGGAATCATCACTACCAGGCTGCAAGCAATGCGGCAGTCATCCACCTCCAGGGTGTCTCGACATGAATGCCAGTGTGCACGCAAAATGGTACTCTATTTCCACCTTGCACTTAAGACTCATGTCCACATTCTGCTCTGCTGTCTGCTGATTTGCCTCTGCTGCTTGGTTCCCGAGCATCTCCTGGACTTTGGCAGCCTCCTGCGAAAGGAGTCTCTGGGAAACGAAGAATGCTTTTTTTTTGAGCTCCTTTTTCCGTCTGCTGTACAGCCGAAAGGCCCATCTGCTGTACATCCGAAAGGCCCGGGGGCCAGGAGATGAGCCACAAATTCGGGAGACCCGAGAGGAGTCACAGTGCCCTATTACCGGCACGACCCCCTCACAGACCCTTCACTGTCCACAAACGTGCATGACAAGAAGAGCACCGCAAGCCCAAGCAGAAGAGTGCAGCAGCAAAGAATGCCTGCGGTGACGGCAGAGGCGCAGCCTCTGGGGCGCTAGGAGCGCGGAGGGGGCGATATCCTAGGCTCCTCCCGGGGCCGGCAGCGACCAGACGCACCGGCCCCCGACGGGGGCGGCCCAAAAAGGGCATAGCCCAGCGAAGCAGCAGAAAGTGACGCGCCCAAGCCGATAGGGCAACCCCCAAGGCATCTGCGCATTGAGAGGCGATCTGCGCCTCTCCCTTTTGCATTCACCGTGTTGGCGCGTTGGGCAGCAGCGTCTCGCGGGCCTAGACTGCCAGACCTGGCTGAAACATCGCCCCAGTCGGAGCAGCCACCGCCATGGCTGCTCCAAGGGCTGGGCCTGGCGGGACGGAAACCGTCAGCGTCGCGCCCGGCCTGCACCTGCTCCTGCACGGAGGTGCTCACACGCTGGCCGGCATGGTGAAGTTGATCTGCTGCCCAGGCACCGCCCCGGTAGGGACGCCACCACCTCTGCCTGCTGAGGCCCTGGGACCTCAACCTGATGGGAGGAGCTGGCACCTTCTATGAACATCATCTTCTCTGAAGCCGGATCACAGCCGATGCTGACGGATGCCTACGAAGATCTTGCTTGAGCCAAAATGGATTCTTGGGTTTAGGGGTTTGGGGTTTAGGGTTTAGGGGATGTGCAACGAAGCTCACACACGAAGATTTCCTAGTGACCCACGCACCTTGATGCCTCAGCTTTTGCTATACGGTCGCATTTGCAGTATTTATTACTGTCACTTGGAAGCCGTCCTGCGCACAGTCGATCGCGGCAGTGGCCGTTTTCCGGGCGAGATGAACGCCCACCAGCCTCCATGGGCCAAGCGTCCCCAAAGCAGCATGGGAGCAGCACGAAACGATGGGTTTCTTGTAAAGTTGACTTGTCCAGGGACGTCTAGTCGAGCAGTGTTCCCAAGTGCTCGGGCAGCTTTGTTCTTCCTCAAGCTTGATTTCCCGAGCGTTCGAGATTCCAGGAATGAAATGTCCCGCCGCGACTTGTCTGCAGCGTTGAGCAGAAAGGGGTTCGGAGAACGAGCAACTTTTGCAGCTCCTGGGGTCCGCGCGACTGAAGTGCTGCAGCTTCGGCGACCTGAGAAAAGCTGGGATATGCTACGTATCATTACGTAACTTAATACCTGTTGTATAGTACCTGTTGCATATTTCTACGTGATACATATCATCCCTGTTCAAACCCCGAGCCCTGTATCCTGCACTCCGAACTTATATTTTTCCGAACTCCTATAACCTAACCGCGAGAGACATCTTGACAACGCAGAACACCAAAGACTCGAAGGTAAAGGCTTACGACAGCCTTGCCCTTTTACCTGTAACCTTCATTGAAGTCTATGCCTTTTACTCCCCCCCCCCCCTCAGTTTTTGGAAGAGGCCGACTCACGTCTCGAAAGCAAGCCTCGACATTTTAGCCTCAAAAAAGGGCCCCCTTATAAACCCCCTATAAACGCCCCTATACACCCCGACCCCCTTGAAACCCAAAAAGGCCCCTCCTACGCTGCCCTACTCAGAAGACCCTGTTACCCGGGCCTTGTCCTCACGGCCCCGGGCCGACTCTAGCGTCTGCTCTAGGGCTTCCTGCCTCAACGGCGTCAAGGGCGGCTGATTTTTGGGCTTTAAAACTCATGGGTTTGGGGTTTCGCGGAGCATCGTTGGCATCGTTTTTTTTTTTTTTTTTTTTNNTTCAGGGTATAATGAAGGGCTTTGTAGGGTTTGGTACCTTCTCTTTCAGGCGATGCTGGGTATAGGTCCTATCGGACTGCACGGATGGTTCCCGCCAGGCCCACGCTCTGCAGCAAAGGCGGGTCGTTGTTGTATGCGTCCCGTGCAGACAGAGGCTTGGCGCTGAGCTCTTGCAGGGCTTTGGGTGATGAAACGCTTTTCTATACAGCCCCTACAGGATCCCTCATCCAGCCGATAGAGCCGATGCCGGTGACTGTCTACGTGGTGATCCGGTCACTTTCAGACCCAAAGGCAAGTCTCACAAACACATCGCGGGCGGTCAGCATAGGGCACATGAGCTACTCTGGAACAGCGCCATGCTTCAACTTCCTTCTGTTCACCTGATGTGCACATCGTGGAAGATCCTACGCCAAGTCCCATGTCTTTGCGTGTACAGACAAGCTTCAGCGCCTTGGCATGGGTGTTAAGGGCACAGGTTGAGCAGGGCACATCCTCTGTAACTTTGGGGTTTGCTGTGTAGGAAAGGGTTTGGGCTTGCTGAATTCTGAACCCTCAATCCAAAGTGTATCGGTATGACTTGGAGTGTGACCGCCGCTGCTTCACGTAACAGTCGCTTGCGATCTTGCCCCGGTTGATTCATCACTTCCAGTCTTGTTAGAGGTGGAGCTGCCCACCATGTCGCTACTGTTGCGATGGCTGTTCAGCAGTGGCCCGCAGGCTCATGGGAGCCGAGTTGAGCGGCATCGGGCAACTCTTTAAGTACCGGGACCCGGACGCTCGTGCGTGCTCCCCCCTTGCCATCCAGGCGCGAACCTTCAGGTCCTCGGAAGCAGATGGACATCCTTAGAAGCATCTTGCAAGCCTTACACACGCGGATGAAGGCATTGAATCGCGTCCCTTCCGCATTTCTCCCGACATAGCTCCTTCTTCACCATGCCGACACTGTACACGGCTCAAGAGGCTTGCGGCTTCAGATGCTCCTAAACAGCCTGTTCGATCTGAAGCCAACGAGGCCTGTCGGCTGCCCAGAACTACGTGCCTCTACGCGCGGAAGGCAGCCACCTGGCAAGAAAGGGATTCGACTGTCATGCTTAGACACAGAACCCCACCCGAAACCCAACACAAATCCGGCAACTGGACATCTCCAAAATCTTGAAGTGTAAAACTTCACCCCAGTCGACCCCCAGAAGACCGGGAGGCCCCAGAAAACTCTTAGGAGTCGCGCTCTGAACAGCAGAGGTTCACTCCAGAGACCCGCCTGCTGCTTCACGCGCTCGCGCACGTTCGCCCAAAAGAGATGCACGTCATAAGCGTGATAGTCCTCCGCTTGGCTCAGGACTGAGGTTGAAGATTTAGGGCATCTTCTGTTGAATCGAACCCTAAACCCTGCATATCCAGTTCTGAGGCATGTCGGGCTGGGCGGTTCCAAGCACTTCTTCAACACCATTCCCAAAGGCACGTGTCACTGGCCAACGTGTTTCACAGTTCAAGGCACACCGAACAAGAAAAGAAGGTCCCATAACAGACCAAGCCAAGCTATGTCTCATCGATCTCGGGATTTAGGATTCTGGTTTGAGGGTCTCGTCCTGTGTTTCGCCGGGCAGTACAGGAGTTCTGGGGTTCAGAGCTCATAGAAAGGCTTCTTTCTTTAGCAGAGAAGGGGACTCTGATGAGAAGCCGATGAAACTCCAGGGCTTCGAGCCACGGCCTGGAGAAGGCTCCACAACTCCCGTCTACTCCGAAGAGCCGAAGTGTTCGAAGCTGGCAGACCCCGGCCCGGTCATGATGTCCCATGTGGAGCTTCGTCAAGATGCCATCTTCCGAGATTGCAGGGTGGACTCGCAGAAGGCCGTCGACCACTTCCGCCCTTTGGACCAACCCCCTGGCACAGTGCACGAGACACCTATGACGTGGCATCGCTCAGATTCACACTTCGGCTTGGCTCATTGGGGGTGCCTCTGCAGCACCGGGAGCTTGGTCTCATCATCTGGCAAAAGGACACCAAGGTGTTCTCCCTTCGTCCAGGCGCAGGGGTTGGCAAAGTCCCTGAAACCAGCTCCGCGCGACATGAAGCCTCCGCTTCCACGTCCCATGTTGTGGTACTCATACCCACGAACGCGCACACACGCACACGAAGCCTCTATCTCGTCTTCCACAAGGACCCCCCCCCCCC